ACCATCGGATAAATATTTGGTCACGAAGTTGACCGGAATATTTATTTTATACATTCATATTAGGCCTTCAAGGCCTCTAACAAAGAAAATTCACAAGCAAAGGCATGAAGCATATGAGACCCGATCCCCTGTCGGCAAGTTGAAAAGGTCGACAAGGTTCAAGCTTTAAATGGAAATGATCTCAAACACCCCGATGATGGCCGTACTGAAGGCAGATCTCAACCGGAGGGGTTAATTCCAAATACTTTCAAATGTCTCCAAAAGCTCCACAAAAATCCCAAAATCCAATATATTTAAAAATGAAATTACCCATCAAATATTTTAAGCAAAAATCCATCCACCCTCGCAACAGTTTGCATGGGTGAACAAATTGAAAACTACTTCAGCTCACAAAGAGCTAAATGCCTAGTCGAAAATATCAATAGGATTCATTCTCAAACAATCTCCTGCCAGTAAGGATGTGGTACGTGTCCTTTGACCGGCGGTTTTGCCACCAAATGACACCGCATGATAAACGGTTATGACCAGGGGCCAGGGGCCCTCTGAACAGAGTGATTTTTCCACCAAATGGCACCACGAAATACCGGTTATGGCCAGAGCTAATACGTTCCTTAGCGACATCAAATCCTTGAGATATGAATCAATCAGATATGATCGATAGGGCACAAAGCCCTCTGTTATCTAAGGTGGAATCAAATTTGTCCCCTTAGACAAACATTTATCCCAGGTCTACAAGATACCATTGAACGAAGCAACCCATGGCTGCCCAAAAGGATCCTTTTGTTAGGTTGGGTCGACTACCTCCTCTGACTAAGTAGACCAAGGACCATGATGGCCCGAGATGACGGAACCATGGGATCTTGATCGGGTATATCATCCATTCCCTCACCATCCGCTTTAAGTGCAAGGTGGTGAAATTTCTATTTTAAAAATCAAATTTTTCTAAATTCCCAAATCCAAACCCAATTCTCAAATCCAAACCCATGCTGCTACTATATGTCAGATAACACGTATACTCTACATATTTGATTCACGACTAGCCTTAATTGAAAGTTCTCTCTCGTTATCGGGATGGGTAATTAACTATAGGGGCTTGCGCCTATAAGAAACCAAAACTCAGATCATAAAGTCCTCACAAAATGCGGGCAAAATCTCTGGGTAGTGTCTTATCTACAAACCCATCTGCCTTCCAAAATTTACCCCGGAACTTAAATAAGTTAAAACTCCCCTCGCCGAAGAAAAGCAAAACCATCATCGGGCAGAGGTCAGGGCCGAATTTTTGGAGCCCAGACTAATGCTCAGTTCATCATTATCACATCATGATTTAGTTCTCTAAATATTTAAATTTTGTAATAGATTTGTTTATCTTGTTGAGCTTTAGAGCTCAACTAGAAATTATACCGAGTATTGTTTAAGGTAGAGGGAAAGATAAGATTGAGCTTGAGTGAGGGGCAGATTTTTAATTGACTACACTATAATTTAATGTATGAATCAGGTATCAGATATGAATCATATTCAGATAATGCTCATGATGAAAAAATTATTGTCATGAATGTAAACTCTAATATATGTTAGATACTCTGTAGTTAATGATTGTAATATTTTAGAACGCTTTTGCTCAATTGACTAGTGTTATTAGATCTTGGTAAATTTAGGGTTGCGTTCTAAGCTTAAAATTTGGGTTGTTTATGTAATTGACTATAGCACTTACTCTCTACTCTCGTGGGTAAAGTTTTGAATGAGTTGACAATAGATTTAATTACCTAATTGAATGAGTGCTTGACTAAGAGGGGTTGCGCGTGAATCGAGAGATAAATAGTGGCATATCATATCAGTTGAATTCTAAGAATTAAATATGAAAGGTTGATTGGATTGAGTCATCAAAGAAAGAACTTAGTTTTGATAATGATTACTACAGAGCATAAGTGATGTGAAACTAAATGCGGAAGCAAGAATTGCACTTTAGAGAATAATAAAAGGTTACAAACTTTGCCTACTACCAATAAAATCTAGCTTACTCAAGTGGAAGTTTTAAGAAGATATCATGAAAGATTAAATAATAGCAATTGGTTACACTTTGAGATCACAAGAACTTGCAAAAGAATAGCCAAAAAAATCTAAATAATGCAAATAGCCAACTATAACAAAGCCTCACGTTTAAAATATAGATCCTTCACCTCGAGATTCTTTAATCACTCTTGAAGGTGGAGGTTAGCGGAAGAGGATCGTAAACACACTTAGAGATACCACTATTACACAAGTGATGCCGAGAGGACTCGTCGCCGAGGAAGAAGTGGGAGTTGGAGAAACTGGTGGATGGCCGTTGATGATCCACTCGTAGTCCAAGAATTGATCATCGAGGATGTCCACGAGATGGGGGAGGACTTGGTTCAAGTAATCTTCAACGGTGTCGTCAAAACCAAACCCGACGTCGAAGAAAGGTGACCGAACGATGTGGATGTCTCCGTGGGCGTCGAGTACGAATCCGTGATCAACTTCGGGATCCGCTATGCATGATCATGGGAGATCTCGGCGTCAAGATGGTGTAAAGGTGGAGGAAATATCACCTAGGAGAGGTGCGGCCAAGAGGAAGGGAGGAAGGAGCTCGGGTGGGAGGAAGGAGGGAGGTGCAGGAAATCTGAGAGAGATTCAAATTTTGGGAAGTTAGAGGAAAGATTTAATTTGAAAATGCCAATCAATCCTAAGAGGGAGAGAGGGGCGACAAAGGGGAGAGATTTGGGGCTGAATTAGTGAAGATTGGGAATTAATTTGGGAGAGAGGATTCCATAGAGGGGCCGGCCAAACTAGAGGAGAGAGGAGGGGTTTATGTTTTGAGGAGGTGGGGCCCACTTGGTTAATCAATTGATTTGAATAAATCCGAAGTAATTTCATATTTTAAACAAAAGGAAGGTTTCCTAATTTACAGGTAGGCATTAGGCAACTTTTCGAATTTCAAAATTAAAATTGAAATCCCATTATGAAGATTACCTAAAATTTAGGACTTATTTTAGAAAGGTAATCACTGTCTCTTGGGGAATTTGAATTTCAAATTCAAGATCCAAGGGGGGAAGGGCCGGCAGGTAGAGAGGGGAAGAGGGGAAAAGTGGGGAAGGAGGCCAACGGATTGGAAGGGGTTTGGGGTTGTAGGCTGGCGGCTTGGGCGGCCCAAGGTAGCCGCCATTGGGAGGGGGGAAAGTTAGGGCTAGAAAATCAAGGGGAAGATTTGGAAGACTTGGATGAAACTTCAAACCTCATGTTGAGTCATGCACCTCCTCCACTAGAACTCACAAAGAGATCTACAAGCTCCACATCTTCAAGAACTCACAAAGAGATCTTGAATGGTGACACGAACTCACAAAAAGATCAATAGAGAAAAATTTCATTCATTCAAAAACTAACTATTACAATGCATGAGGCCTCATATAAGTAGGCCAAAATAAAATAAAATAAAACTGAAATGCACAAATGCCCTCAGGGCTATATAAGCGACTCAATGCCCACAGGGGCAAACTAGAAAACAAGAAATACAAGCATAAATAAAATGCCAATAAATTAGAAATAGAGGCTATGGATCGTAGCCGTAGATCTGCGTCTCCGGAGATGGTACACGTGTTGAAATCTGATGTCCTCATCAATAAGTGTGTGTAGTCTACGTAAGCAAATGGAGAGATAGCCCCAACATTGCTTATTTACATATTTTTTAGATGAAAACATTATAAACTGAATAATGAAATATAAAAAGTTAAAAAATTTAAAAATAATATGACAATTTTTTTCTAGGATATTCTAATTCAAATATAGCATATAAAGTTTTTTTAATAAGATATAGAAAATTACATAAGAATCCCTACATGAATTATGTGATGAAAATTTGATTGATACTATTAGAAATGATACTGTAGAAAAATGTATTTATAAAATAAAAGAAATTAATTTGAAAGATAAGAAAAATGACTTGATTATAAGTGGTCAATGTCAAGATGTTAGGACTTTGAGACATATTAAGAAGAAGCTAGATCACTCTACATTCATTTCGAATAAAAAACCAATGAATGTTGATGAAGTTTTGCAAGAAAAATTTTAGATAGTACAATACAAGATGAATTGAATTAATTCTTTAGAAATGCTGTTTGGGAAGTAATCCAGCCACAACGAGTCCAACCACAAGATTAGACTTAGATGAATCAGGAAAACGTATATACAATAAGTTCTTTAAGAGTATGGTACGTAGTTTCACTTTCATACCTTACAACAAGCCAGCCTCGTAATATGTTTATCTTAAGTACTTGTGCTTATTTTTAAGTAAACCCCGAGGAATATCACTTAATCGTAATTAATAATATATTTAATTATTTGATTGGCACTTCTAAATTAAACTTGTGGTATCACAAGAATTCATTTTGCTATGCAAGTCATACATAATGTTGTGTTTTCCAACAAAAAAAATGTTACTGATCATTTTTATAGTTTAAAACAGAGGACAGATATCTATACCAAAGCTCTGGGTCATTTGTTATATTTTTGTTTATAAAAGAAGCTGAAGCTAACAAATATATATGTTCCAGGTTGAAAGGTTATGATGTACTTTAGGAAAATAATATAAAAAAAGTGTTATATTAGAAGACTGTCATATTTAAAAAATATTCATTTTTTCATTCATAATTTTGATTAATCTGCCCTTCTTTGTTTCCTATTGTCTATATTATGTATGCATACATATAAGCACCCCTCATTTAGTCAATTAGAAACACCAGAAGTTTTCTTCTCAACACTAAGCATTTTACTAAGTGCTTAACCGCTCGGGTTCCTCATTAATTTGGGTCATATGCAATTTTAATACTTCATTTTGTTACTTATCACAAGTAGCACGCCATTCATGGAAAAACAAGATTGATTATGACATGGACACCAATCACATCTGGGAATTAACAAATCAAAGAAAAAGAGAAGAAAATTAGTAGTAAACAAATTGACAATAAGTTAGAATGAAATAGCTTTACCTGATATCCAGTGGGCTTGGGGTTAACAACGTAATCGTCAAACTCCCCATCAATTGGAGTCCAGAGCCTACACAACCAATCAGGAGTGATCATGTATCATTTGAAACTAACAAATATGTGTTTTCACTAGCATGCTAACACCAGGTATTTCTACTGAAATTAATTGTCATTTCTATGACATTGCAGCATGTACAAAATTTACAATATCACCAGAAAGTACATAAATCGTTTGCAGTGAACAGGGTTATTAGCTTTGAGAGCGACAGAGTAAAAGCAAGAGCAACAGAGCGACATAACAAGAGCCATGAAGAGAGAGGGAGAGCGGTCTAACAAAATAGCAATTTCTCATAAGGCATTCTTGGAAAGTGCATGAAAAATTTACCGCTGCATAAGCTTTACTATTTAGTCGTTGAACAGAACAAAGAATCACCTGTGTACAATGTCAAGAAGACTATAGCAGCACTTGACAGCAGGTCCATGTAAAGTTCCATTTCTATCGCCAACAATCACCCTTAGGGCACGAGCATCATAAACCTGCCGGATGTCAACATCTTTCCTTTTCATCTGAAGGAAGAAGATTAGAGATAATATAAGAAAATGCACAATAACTCCAGGTATATTATGCTGCAATCTATCAAACAAAAATATAATAATAATAATTCACCAAACATGTTAAAACCCACATTGCCATTATGGGAATGTTTACAAGTAAGAAAAAAGGAAAAAGGTTTCAAGAAAAGTGTGCTTGAAATAGATGAGCTGCTCGTTGATGTTGCATCACTGAAGAACGCGGTAGGTATTCTTGATATCGGAACTGAAGACCAATAAGACAAGAGTCGTTGATCAAATAAAGGCCCTTTAAATGAAGATTGCAGAGTGTGAAGTCTTTGAGAAAGCCAAGAAATTGTGCTAAAACAAAATCAAGGTCTGGCACCAATCAAGAAGTCGAAGGCTATATGTCTCTGACGAAGAGAAAACTCATGAGAACATCCAAAAAGGTCAACATTCACACAAATCTCAAATGCTCAAAATATAAAGCACTTCAGGGTCGATCTCTCTAAGTGGTCAAAAAGTTTCAAAAGACTCAATAAGTCGAGCTTAAAAAATTAGAAGAATGGCTTATTCATTAGCCATTGGCCAAGTGAGATAACAATTAGACCATTACGACTACTAATTGTCACACTACTCTCCTTGGCCTATTGGTTGAGAGCTTTGGCTTCCAACTAAGAGGTTCAAGGTTCGAGTCTATGTGTATGCGTTGTGTGTGTGAGTTTGCCTTAAATGGCCTAAATGTCCCAAAAAAAACTACTAATTGTCCTTCCTAACAATAATTCAAAACATAGATGTGCACGGTAGGCCACCAACTCAACACGTCTGAGGTCGGGTTGACCATACAAATCTTCTAAAATTCAATAAGCCTAAAAAATCAAACCAATTCAAGCAATTCAAAATATTATTATTGGACTGCAGATATTAGTCTCATAAGGTTTCAACACCAAATTCGAGTTTCGCACCAATAATGGTTTGGTCATTAAAATATCATAAGTAAGCGAGCCCACCATCTAAATAAAACTCCCGGCCATAAAGACACACTTTGATCCATATCCCCTATAATGGGTTCAATTATCACCAATCAAAATTGGAAGGAATCTAACAAAAAAATGCCTTCTCAAAATTAAAAATAAATGCATTCAAGCTTCATCAATATGGGGAGCATTCAAAGTAGCACACATAACTGAAATTGGCTTCATTTAAATCCAAAAATGGTTTCTCAAGTTGCAATTGTGATATAAAATTGATCCAAATTTAGTAATAAAGGGACAATTTTGAAACAATTTTGTATAATCGAGAGACTAAGTTAGAGCAATGTGATAGTCTAGGACTAAATTGACTGTATACGAATAGCCATGGGACCATTTTGACTCTCGGAGTAGCTACTCATGCATTCTCCATACCAATTTGCAAAGGCATAAGAAATTTAACATCGAGAAAAGCACCTAAAATAATAATGTCACATCAAATATATTCAGATGACCACACTCAAAAATCTCATGTCACTAAGGATGTAATAAGTGTCCCAGACCACAAGTTCCTCAGTGCAATGGAATTATTATATTTCAATTACATCTTGAACTCACATGTTTCCTAATAGCTACCAAGTATATGAGTTACACACTTGATAGGGCATTAAGCCCTTTGATAATCAAATTCAAACTAATATTGGCACTATCAATTAGCTTTCCCCACATATGAGATTCCTTGGATTACAAAACTCATGGTTCCTAATAAGAATCCTTTAATTGAGTATCAAGCACCTCCACTAGCTAAGTGGACCAAGGTCCATGATAATCTGAGACAACAAAACAATATGATCTTGATCGAATTTGTCATCAGTACTGATCCTTTGCTCTGGGCTAATTGTGATAAATTTTTTATTATCAAGTAAAGCATCATAAAGCCTATACTATAGCATCAAAAGTGTTTTCTCACAATCAAGAGTAGTAATTAACCATGAGAGTTTACAACTATAAGAAACATCAAATTAGATCATAAGGTCCATTCAAAAGAACAAAATATCTAGGATTACTTTATTTATTATCTAATCTACCTTCTAAAATATTAATCCTAAATCGTTCAAATTAAAATAAAACCAATTGGGTATTTTCAAACTATAGCTAAGAATCAAAACTTTCTTGGAAATTCCTATAAAATAGATTTTTAAGTGGAAATTTTCTATTTAGTCTATTTTGCTAAAACAATGGTTGTAAACTTCTCATTCTTACAAGAATCCAAGTGTTCTAATTAAAACTTGCATTATTAAACCAAATATTTAAGGATTAGGTGAAGTTGCTAATTTTGGGTCTTTTTGGAAGACCCCCCAAAACATGCAAAATATATTGGATCATTGAATAAAATTTATGCTTAATCCCAAATTTAAATTTTTTTGGGTGCGGTGCATGAATCTTAATTACTGTGATACATAATATTTGTATTTCAGTTCCTTTAATATTATAGTTTAAAATGAATTAAGCATATTGTCTAGTTTTGCATCGAAAGAGACTATTTTTTTCTTAAATTAAGAGTTTGAAGAGTTCGAAAGTTACGTATTGTGCTCTTTTGCCAATTCTTTAAGTGCATGCTCCTAGGAGTTTTTTAGTGAATCTTACCCTTGAGACATTTTGCATCAACATCCAAGTATTATACGGAAAAGTTCAGAAGTATGCAAATAAAAACAAGTGGTCATATGCTTTCTTAAAATATGGTTTTATTGAAAGCGATTTTAGAATCTCTTAACATAAAAACACATATGCTTCAACATAATACTACCAAAAATACAAGTATTTTCTCCTTTTTAAAAATCATTCATCTCAATCATCGTGAATAACACGGTCTAGGAATTCCATCACCATTGACATGCAAGTATTTCTCATTATCAAAGTCAGTAACCTTGAAAATATATTGCAAACTGAGGGGTGACGCTTGAAATATGTTTGCACTGAGCAACACGTAGGCATGAAGGCCCTTAACCATGTACTTCACCAATAATCCACGGTCCGTTCTCATTGGTTGAGATTTGAATGAATTTTTTTATTCGGGTTAGGAAAGGTGTTGAGAGGATGACCTCTTAGGTGAAGATGCATCTTGAATCACAACATTGTTGCAAAACTCAAAAACTCACTAGAGAAAGATATGTATCCTCTCCTCTAACCTGACTTTACCAATTCAATGTGATGAATAAATCTTCTCTTTGAGTTCCATGTCATACTTTGTAGACTGATGTGGATAAGATTTGTGCACACCCATATACACATTACAATGTGTTGTTTAAATGGATTGATTTTAAAAATCTTCTGTAATCATTAAAAAGGTGACTATTATTACTACATATCATTTAGAGATACATATCATTTAATTCGTATTATAATTTTAATTCAATTCCAAGATACAGTACTGATTTTTAAACTTGCATTATTTATCAACTAGACAAAAATATTTTTAAGATAAACATAGTTGATATTATTTGTTAATAAATAATCAGCTCTAATTTTATCATTTACCAAATCAAGTAATGGCCACAGCTATTATTACAAAACAAGATCATCTATCATAGGATTTCAGAAAATAAACTCAACAGTAACTTTAGATCTCTATCAGCATCATTTACCAATTCAAGTTATTGCCACAACTAATTTTACAAAACAAGTTCCCCTATCACAGGATTCCTGGAAATAACTCATCAATAGATTCAGACAAATATCCATTTTACTAAACAACACAACATTGTCAAATAGACCCTTTTTGTTAAATAGACTTTCTACATACTAGGAAGAAATCACTGTAAACTAAAGCACAAGACCATACTGCCTTAAATACATCGAGTGGCATACCTTACAATAGATACTGTACAAGCTTTTTAGCCTGCTAGATAGATCAACCTCCATTCCTGGAATATAACTACACACACAAAAAAAAAAAAACAGAACAGATGAGTTATGCTATTTGTTTGTTTAATGAATATCATTGCATTAAATTAAATATAACTTTCAAATTGAATTTATAAAACTAGTTTTAGGAATAAATTAAAAGAAAAAGGAAAAGCATGGCAGTAATTTGAAGCACTCAGTCTCAAGTGGGTATATAATGTAGTTCAGTAAGAGAGACTGAAATGTCAAATACTTGGAAAACTATGAAGCAAGATTTTTTGCAATAAAGCAACAAGTAGCACGTTTCAGGTCATACGAAATAGATATGAGCAACTCCCGCTCGAGAGCTTCTTCACAATATGTCAGAGACTCTAATGCTATCGCAGCATCATTAACAACTTTAGGCATCGCGACTACAGGTTTAGGGCATTTCCTGAGGTTATTAACAAATCTAGTTCGCTTCTTACGATCCTGCAACAGATCAAAGGGCAATACAGCTTGCAAAAGATCCTGCAAATAAAGAATAATTGCATACATAAGAATTAAAGTTTCAAGAACTATACCTTGAAGACAAATGGCAAAATGAAGTAAAGGCTAACACTGCAAATGCTACCTAGAAAGCTCTAACAATTGGTACGGTAAAATCTCCGAAATTTATTTTAAGAAATCCAAAACCCTATGCAATATAAGCTGAATCTTAATACACACAAAATTTAGTGAATGCATGCATATAAAATTTTATTTAGGACAGACCTTTATTCAGGGATGGCAACAGGTCAGTGTAAACCCAAATATATTATATGCAACAGATAAAAATTATAAGCAGACATGAAACCACACATCAGCCCCTTGCATGGCACAAACCATTGTAATATTCAAATTGCAAAACAAGTCATCCTTGACCCTAGTAAGTATTGGAGTAGATCCCACACAAGCACTGGAACATCATAATTTCAATATGAAAAAACGCAGGTTTTTATCCAGATTAGGGGTTTGGGAAAGAAAGGATTTGCTTCAACTCTGATCATATTCACTTCAGGATAATCTTGTGGAAACTCAAATATGAACTAATGTAATAAATAGAAAAAAGAACCAAAATGATCCCTCAACTCTTTGTGAGGGACCAAAATGATCCCCAACACTTTTGAGGGACGAATTGGTCTCTCAACTCCCTAAAAAGAGACATTTTTTGTACTAACGTCAAATTTTGGGATTAATGATGTTAAAGCAAGATTTTTTTTTAATAAATATAATTTAATTATTTTTTTTAAAATCAAGGGGTTTTTGGTCATTTTTAATTAAATTATTTATTAAATATAATTTTTAAGCAAAATTTACCACCTTAAATCTTAGAGAAATAATTCATCCATCCTCCATAATAGTTTTACAGAGGGTGACAAATTTAAGATTAATTTATGCTCACAAAAAATTAATGTCTTATTAAGCATATTGCTATGATTACTCTTAAAAAAATCTCATGCTAGTAAAGATGTTGTGATGGGGGCATCGACAGGAGATTCCGGCGCGTCTATCAGAGACGACACCGGAGATCGACGGCTATGATGGATAGCCTTTACTACTGATGATTTGTTGTATCCGCAGTTCTTACATTACTTGTTGCTTTTCCGTTTTTTTCCCATGTTACCCTTGTGTGTATTAGTTTTATCTTGTAGCCCGAGGGGCGTTTTAGACTTTTGCATTTGCTTTCATTTGGAGCCTATTTATATGGCCCCTTGTATCATGTATGAGCTATTGAATTATTGAATGAAATTTTCTTATGCTTTGTTCTCTTTGTGAGTTCAATGTCGTAGAGATCTCTTAGTGAGTTCTTCATGATCTCTTTGTGAGTTCACTTGTAGAAATCGATCAAGGTTTGAAATTACTAATCCTTTGTCCCTCCGCCACCAAATACCCCCAAGTAGAGAAGAGAAAGCAAAGAAGTTAAGCCCTTGCCGCCACCGTCCATAGAGCAACCCGCCGGTCACCGGATCCTCACCGGCCGACCACCTTGCCGCCGGCCACCTTTCCTCTCCACCACCTCTCCATATTCCTCCCCAACCTTTCTTTGAGATTTGAATTTTAAATTTCAATTTCTTTCCTAATTGGGAAATTCTAATTTATGAAAGTTTTCGAAATTTTGAACTCAATCTCATTCCAAATGAAATTGGATTCATGAGACAAGATTTTCCTAGTCATCGTTTTGATTTGGAATCCTCCACCTCATCCCAAACTCCCCTCTTCCTCCTTGATGCCGCCGGCCCCCCTCTTCATGGGCCCCATTAATTGTGCAATTAATCCCCCCTCTCTTATTTTGAAATTCAAATCTTAAGCTCAAATAAATCCCTCTAATTTTACTTAAAACTGAAATTAATTCAGTTTTATTCCTAAACCTAGCTCCACTATTGATGCCGCCGGCCCCCCTCTTTGTTTGC